AGAGAGAGAGAGAGAGAGAGAGAGAGAGAGAGAGGGAGAGGGAGACGCTGATACAGAGTACCAAGTTGCAGTCTTCTTCTTTTCTTTCCACTGGGAGGGTCAAATTATGTCAGAACAAAATAAAGCATCCATTAGCGTCAAAGCTAATCAGGCTACTGTTAAAGCATGTCTAAATGAAACATTTTCAAATCAAACTACTTCAATGGATTAAAGCGATCTCGTCAGAGCCCCGAGGTGAAAGCGAAGGGACAAAGTTTCGCACAAAGCGTTACGAGTGGCCCCACACTCGGCTAATACAAAGGAGCAGTTGTTTTTTGCTCTCGTCATGTTTCAGGAGTGCTCAGTATTCACCTCACAATCTCAAACAGAGGGACCGGGGAGGGAAGGAAACACCTCCTGCCTGTTGAGGAAGTTCATTTTCAGAAAACAAAAAATTCAGACAGACAGTCAGTTAGCCCCGCTCGCCACCACAACAGTGGACTCGAGAGGTAGTGCTCATTCGAGCAGCAGCGGTGTGTTTACTTTGGCAATCTATGAATTCCACCGGCATGAAGCTTATAGACGGCCGACAAACAACCGGGCCGAACCCCGACGTATTGACTGATGCAATCACTGGAACAGTCAGGGGGAAACGAGTAAACAAAACACGGGGTGATTATTGTGATGTCCGTCGAAGACATTAACTTCAAACTCAAACACACGGGACTGCACTTTGACTGTCAACAGAGGCGAGGCCTTCAGAAGTCCATGCCGGCCAAAGCTCAAACCTTATCTCTTGGGTCATGTGGCCTTAAGTTCAGTGTGCACACACTGACCACCAATCAGCGACGCACCAACCTCGTATACTGTTGAATACCAAAAAGCAGCATTGACTGACAGTTCATTTGACTTCCAAATACTTCAAATAAATTATTAAAAAGGGGGATATTTTTCAAGTCTCTTCATCTTTTAAAAAGGCACAATGTGCCTTTAAAAGTTCAGTTGAAGTTTCGACATAAGCTCTACCAGGAATGTGCTCTGTCTGAGATTACTTTCCAAGTAAATACTACAAGTATTTGCAAATGGGATTTTATAGGAACACAGAAAACACCAATGAGGCCTTACAGGAGAGCCAAACGACAGAAGCCGTCAGTTCTGAATTATAGGGACTCTAATGGAGTCCTTCACAGGTATCCAGGTGAAGTACAGCGGGGACCCAGAGAGACCAGCACGAGGACTCTAGTAAACACATTTACTCGAGCTTCTGGCTAAAGTGCATACACATCAAAAGCTGAACGTGCATTAAGTAGCGGTAACGTTTTCTTCTTCTGGCAGCACTGAATGTTCAGCTCCCTACCCCGTTGTTTGCCAGGAGTTCACCACTCGTTGGCTGTTGTTGTTGTATTCCCTTAAATGTGGGTAAAGGAGGATCTCCTCAAAACAAGCAGCCATTTTGTTATCTTCTTCTTCCTCGCGGACATGGGCGTATGGCGACTGTTAAATCCACGCGGAGCAAAGCGGACCCTCGTGGACATGCGGAAAGTATGAATGGGCTTCTGGGTAACAGCCTTTTCCAATTTGTCTTTTACTCACTTATGTTGGTTCAACATCAGCGGCTCCTACAACTGGAGGATTACCGTAGAACAAAAATCAACCATAATTTTAAATCTTTCTTTGTTTTTTTAAGTCTAACCCACAACAACATTTCTTGTTAGCCCATTTGTACCAATTCTCAGTAACAATCAGTGAAAAAGTAGATGTGATAGTACTCGTATAGTACTCCACAGACCGGAGAGAACATGAGCTGTAATTATCAGAACACGTTTTAGTTTACCATAAAGAATTCAAACACATTTTGGTCCATGGCCTCCGTTACATCCTCTGCTCAAATGGGGTTGACTTTAAACTTTTTGTTTTTTCCCCAACATATCACCATGGTGATCTGATGACAATGTAAGACTTTTAAAAATAGCAAAGCTCTAGACATGCTCTAGTAAACTGAGCTGCGTGCTTATTCCTGGACTGAGCTGCTTCAAGTACAGCGCCCCGTATAAAAAATTTAATAACACTGTGTGATGCGTCAGTTACACTTATATTATTATATATTATATATACATTATGGACAAACAGCTCACCGGCCCTTTACCAGCTACAAAATATTGGTGAACCGACAATACAATCTGATGATTTGCACACACTGGTCAGCCCGTGTCGTCGCTGTCACACTGCCATCAATTAAATAAGTCCCTGTTAACTCAGCCAGGGGTGACGGGACAAAGACCCATTGTGACACGGGACACAGGCCCGCTTCCCTTCCTCCCTTCCCTCAGCGAGGAAACGGTCGCATCGGTGTCTCCTTCGCTGAGGCCGGCCCTAATGGGCTGCGTCTTCAGTCCAGCCCGTCACAAATGAGACGGGCACAGTCAGAGGGGGGGGGGCTGCTCACTATAGAGTCAGTGCATAACCACTGTGACCAATCACGAGACCTAAAGCAATAACTGGAGCAGACGGAGGGGCGCCACAACAGGAGTACATTTCCCATACACAACTTCTGTAAACACACACACACACACACACACACACACACACACACACACAGGGGCAGGCATAAAGAGGAAAAAGTGAGGCACTAACTCAAAGCATTCACATTCAAATTATGTAATTTTCAGATTTTGAACCAAATGTCAACCTGCTCTGCCTTTTTGTTGATGTCATGACATTACCTACAATAGTTGGCCACAGTTTGTAAAATAGGGACAGCTGTTAAGTGGGAGGGGATATAAATAGATGCCAATTAGCTGTACCCTTATCTCTAAATGATGTGAAACGTCACCGAAAAAAACAACAGACAGACAAGTTGAGAGTCAGGAGAGTAAAACAAAAGAAGGGCGGTGGCACATGCCTCGACTGAAGTTTACATTTGCATCTCAAATTCAGAGCCACTACCTCTGTTTGATGAGCAGAATGTCGGGGATACCCCTCCTTTAAAACACGGGGCGTGAGCAGGTGATGAAACGCACATGTGCAGCTTTAATTATTCAAGCAAACCACCACAAAACTGCACGAAGCAGTAAACTCCAGCAGACGGATGGGACCGATGTCAGCAGTTAGCGCTGGAGCTCACTGATTGGTGACTGATCTCAGATAGATATGTGGTTGTTCAATGTAACCACCTCCTTCCACCAGAATGGGAGGTAGAAGGAGACCAACATGTTCTTTATAGAAACAAAAATACTTTCTTTGGCTGATAATACAAACAACACACTGGCTAAACTTAAGTAGCACAGACTTGTAGACTTTATTTCCACATGCTGTTAATACATTTTTAAATCATTTTTCAGTTTAAATGTGTAAAAACACTGCAATATGCGCACACCATCCTAATTATGGGAATACAGTTACCTCAAGGGAACAATGACTGCCGACTACCGTATCCTGCCAATCATGGAATTATTCAACCTCTGCCATTACGACGATTTTAAAATAGTCAAATCAGCATCACAGAGGACGTGGTAATCACAGGGTGTTCGGGAGAACAGTAGGTTAGAAAGCTTTGAGCTTTTCTGTTGAGCCAGTCCATGAGAGACCAGGTTTAGACTGCGTTGAGCAATCCCAAAACGGTTCTGCCACACGGGTCAGCTTTCGTAACAAATTTAAAACCCACAGTCACCCTTATGGCAACAAGAACACGCTGGATTTTTTTTTTAGAGGACGCAACCTTTCCATTTGCTCTAGGTCAGAGTACGCAACTCCGAGATAAGACTGATTACACGGCAACAACCACCATTTTGAAGTGCAGATTCTTCACCACTGCTTAGATAAGGTGTCACAGTAACAGCTACGAGCTACAATGGAGCACCATGCCACTTCCTTGTTACGGTGTTTTACTTTACATTCAGTCTGTTGTGCTGTGGTGGTCTCTTTCTTGTCACGTTGCGTCAGCGTGATCGTACATCCTCGGAGGAACATCTTCCTGTTCTGTCACCGGCACACAGTGAAATGGAGCAACTTCTCAGAAAAGTGACACCTATGTGTTTGTACCAAGTTGTAAAAATGAAGCGTGGCATTCAAGGGAGTTCTAGAGGAGCTTAAGATGCATTTGATAGCACTGTGTCTATTGGTATTGAACATGAACATGGAGCAATGTAAAATAAGTGTGTGACTATCAGGGCATTACTCTTTTGGAAATTGTTTGAATGAATTTAAAAAGCAGGCCAATACTTCATGGTTAAACGTGAACGTAAACGATACTGTGACTGTAATCAATTGTCAAATTCACTAATTGTTGTGTCAGTTTCAAGCTATCGTCAGTAAACGCATCTGATTCTCTCAAGTCTGCCAGTAACATTTTCAAACATCATGCACTGTGAGCTGACCCAGAAAAATAAAAGATAATGATATTCACAAAGACTGTGCAGTGTGCCTCCTCGTTCACCTGTACTTCACCTCTTCCTGAGGACGAAAAGAACTTCAAACCATGGAGTAATGCTTCATATGGTAACTACAATGTCTTCGTCTTCTTCCAACAATTCAAATAACCCGTATGATGGTGCACAACTAAGTCACATTCAGCTCCACTACAATGCTTTCCATCCCCGTGTTTATGAACGCGGTTTCACGTCGGCAATAACAGCATCAGTGGGTTACAACAGGTCTTATTTATAGTAATGAATGTCAGTAAAGTTAGAAGACCCAGGTCTATTCTGGGAGGCAACAGTACTTCCCCTTCAGAGACTCCTGTACATACAAACATGTACAGGAGCAGACACAGGCTACACGACCACAAACAACAGCAAAGACAACAGATGGTTTGACCTACAAACATGACTATGGAGATTCTGGCCATAATAATAATGGCAGATTGACAACATCTGTTTCTTTTTTGTCTTTTTCTGACCCTTAAGCTCCTGTTGCCTTTGTCTCCTATTTATCACTGGGGCTTTAACAACTGTCAAGCAAGAAGAAAAGGAACGTCAGCCTACATTAATGTCATAACCTCACGAAAGATAAAGACATTTTTCCTCATCACTTTTTCCCAAATACACACAGAAATCTCAAGAGCACACAACGCATTTTAGATGAGGTTTGTCCAGTAAATAAAACGCCAACAGGCAGCAGGTAGAGAGACCACAAGGGCACCAGACACGTGGAATAACATAAAGAACATGAAGACCTATTCAACAGCAACACATAAACTATATCCAACTGGATTAAAAAGGGATATTTTTCCTTCCCTCTGACAATGTTTGTGGAGCACTCTGTATCTGGGACAATCTTGTGATAATCCATTACATCATGTGCTTTAGCTAGCCAGTGTAGCCTCCCAACCTCTGGTACCGTCGATATATATATATACACACCATGAAATATTCAACAATTTATGAATATGAGGAGGAAACATGCGTCTTAAATTAAACAACAACTGATACTGATTTAATATCACCGTCCACTAACATACCACTCGAGAACTACGCGACAAGCAAAGGCACTGAATGGCACAGAGTCGAAGCGAAGTGGAAAACGTAAACTGAAAGTGCTGTTGGCAAAGAAAACTAATATGCTTTGTAGCTAACGCCGTGTAGACGGTGGCATTAGACAACACAACCACAGCCAGTCACACAATGAGCAATACAAAGTTACACGTAATGGGCAGGACTATTGCACAACACTTCCAGACAAACGGGACTCGTTACAAAGTCACGTATCTCCCGGTTAGTTACACATTTCATTCCGCTTTAATTAAAGTAGGTTTACGAGCCGTAACGTGACGTTAGCTCACCCAGCAGCACATCCGTGAGGCAAAGTAGCGTTAGCAGTAGCTCCGTGGGTCAGGAAACCTACTGGTAGCGTTAGCATAACATTTTAACTGTGTAGAATGTTATATATATTTCCATATATCAAAAGACAGCCCTTCTTTGGTGATGTGAATACGAGCCCATAGAGCAGAGAGACGCACCGTTCATATGAACTAGCTAGCTGGCCACATGCTGTCGCTGGCTCTGCCATGCTGGCTCTGCTCTAAGAGAAGTCACTTGACCACATTTACTTTTCGCGTGTTCCACACATATCCACCCAAACCATATTCAATTATAAATACATATTTACAGGTTTAAATACTCACAATCATGCACGGCACGTGCCTCGGTGCGGTATGTTTATAGACACGTCCGCGCGCAGTTTTATTCCGATGTCTGTCTCGCACAATGTCAGAGATCAGATCAGCAGCTGCTTCCTCCATACACGCAGCGCGCGGATCACACAGCGCACGGGCAACGCTACCAAACCCCTTGCCGTCGCCATAGCAACAGGCCCCACTTCAGCCAATCAAAACCCCTCCCCTCCTATCTCCCCTGGCAACTGCCGCAGCGCAGGAGCTCCCGTGAACGCGCACGCCATCCTGTTTTTGCATCGTGTCGGTGTGTGCTTTCACTTTTTTTATCGCCAGCTGCTTGTAACGTAACATAAGAGGAGGGAAATACGTTTTGTGAAAAACATTTTATGAATGATAGGGTATGCAGTGAAGCAGTGATGGGGTTTATTGCAATTTGATAAAGTGTGTGTGTGAGTGGATCAAGCCGGACGGGTCCACAACACAACAATCCCGCGTTATTTAGGCTACACAAACACCTCGGGGCGGAGAGAAAGGATGTGTCACCACACCCAGCCTCGTGACGATGGCGGACCTTTAGCAGGGCCCCTCCCAGAGTAAACGATGATACAAGGAGCTAACGTGACGTGTATACACACACACAACAGACACATGCTGTTTGAGGCCTGAGCATTTAGACAAAGTAAAGACAAGAAATGGGAAGAAAAAGAAGCCTACTTTCCAAGTTGCAGATGAAACTCATTCTCTGTGAATGTGTTGAAAATCAAAAAAATGCACAAAAGGGTCTTTCACGTGACCGTACAGATGTGCTTGTCGAGCCACGGGAAACCCATGCAGGCTATCTGTTGAGTGCAGCTTTACTGGCCAACTGACTTCACACCAAACTGTAACTTTTACATGGCGGTGATACCTTACTCATCTCAGCCACACCATTTCATAAGCGTACACGAGTAGCTCTCAGTGGACTGATCTAATAGCCTCTCTGTTTGCTTTTACTGTGTCTAACCAAATACCGGCCATGCAGCAAGGGCTGTTCTGTACTGGTGTGGATGCACACCCATGTTTTTCCCCTTCTACTAACTGGACAAACAGGCTTTGCAGTGGCGGAAAGGTGGCTTTGTGTCAGAGTGAATAACGGAGTGATACTCTGGAAAGTATTTTTCTTGATCTGTGGCTTGGTACTTATCATTAACAGGCTGCTTCAGTGAGTTCCTTGTTTATCTTGTCTACATTGCATGGAAACAATGTATATTTTATGCCAGAATGGTATAAATGTTGCAATATTCATTTGTCTAACAAAGAAACACATAAAGTGATTTATCAGTGGTGGCAAAGCACTCTGGGTACCATTACATTCATTCATGATTTTGAGCCTTCGCTCAGGTTTCTGTGGCATAATTTTCCTGCACACACTGAGCTATTCTTAGGGCCAGCAAGATGCGTAGACTCTGCCCCATTTTTCCTTCCAGCATCACTCCTAGGGATGGTGAAGTTGCAAAGCTAGCAAAAGAGAGAGGGAGAGGAGCGCAAGATGCATTAATAACAGGTAACCGTGGATGCGTTAAAAAGGCAGACCCATTAGTCTGTGTGCCTGCAATGTTGCTAATCTGATTGTAAAAGCTGTTAAGCTAAAAAAGCTAAAACATGCCCCGCTGACCACCATCAGAGATTTTCTTAACAGAGCATTTCCTGGTCCATATAATGTGTTGCCTGCACAGAGTGCTGATGACTGACTTTAGGAATGATCCTTCTCTGTGACATGAAAGGATGACAAAAAAGTCTTTGTGAGAACTGTGTTAACTTAACAATGGGGGAGAATAATTACAGTAAACAGCTCACTTTGTATCAAAAGGAGTGCGGTGAAGAATAGCAGGATTACAGACTATGAGAGGAGTTCATGTGAGGCAGTAAAAGTGGTCCTGATGGAAGGGATGAACAATGAGGAAGCTAGCCTGTGATGGAGAGTAGTGGCCGAGCGTGAATGAGGGTGCAGTGTGTCTTAGCAGCCAGCCTATGGTGGCACGGCGGTCAGGAGGCCTGCTGCTTTAATGGTCCATAAATCTGTGTGGACTGGCTGGTCTGATGCCGCCCCAGTGAGACCCTCTCATGCGGAAAATGAATCAGACCGTTTTTTTACGGAGCGCAAGTGTGGAAGCTCTCACCCTCCCCTTACTGCCAACGAGCCGATAAGAGCTGCTGCACACGCACGGCACTCCATTTCAGCAGGTCTGGAGCTCATAAAACTCTCTATTAGTGACAACCCCTGTTCGTATGCTGCTCTTCATTCAATGTGTCCTCTTGCCTTTGTTGTCCCCTCTCCGTTTTCTTTTCTCTCATTACAGCTCGCTTTGGTTTCTGGAGTGGGAAACACAGATGTTGACACTTTGGTACGCAGCCAGCAAAGAGGTAAAAAAAATTGTAAAGATAAATCACATTCCAGAAGAAATTCAAAATAATCTCTCTTTTTTTTTGTCACTCTGTCATACACACACACACACACACGTACACTGAATAATACATTTAGCATATTCATTAGAACTATGCCAGGTATCTCTGCCTCTTTCTTTCTCCTGCTTACTCTCTCACATACATTTAGAACAATAGATACGGTTGTGTAACGACGTGCATTCTGGGACTATGATGTTGCACAAAGTCATTTGCCATGCAGACTGTATCAAGTATTTTCTCTGGTTATTTCAACTTCATGTATACCTCAGACAGGTGAAGACATGGAGTGCACTGAAAGTCGCTGTCCTGGTTTGACATGTTGGAACAATCACCTGCAGTTATTAAGGGACTGAGACCTACAGACAGCCGGCACTCTCAGCTAATTAGTTTGAACCTCCTTTGAAATGCGAAGTGGAAGAGTCATCGAGAAAATTGTGACGTAGAGTGCTAACACACATGCACAGATATGCATGCAGAAACACACGCAGACGCAGGTGCACACACACATACACTAAGGCTCTAAGGCATTTAGTTTTCCCAGATACGTATAGTCAGTGGGGTTAGTGTTAAACAGGTATTTGCATTCTCTCCAGGACGAGACGACAACCTTAACTGTGGGTGAAGCTGTTGTTTGAGGAGAGAGAGAGAGCGCAAAACAAGCACGACAGACATCTTATTTCTATCTATAAGTATTCCTAAAGGCTGTACATTAATGTCTTTGCAGTCAAAATAGGGTAAATGTTACTTGCACACACCTCTAACTATTCGCAGAGCAACCAGGCGTGGTCAACTTGTTCCAAATGCAACACTTTCTTTGTTCTCCAGGTTTGTTTTCCCTGGAGGTTCTCCCAGCTTTTGCCTGCAGTTATCCTCAACTGAAGAGCGTATTTGCCTCCAGAAGCCTTTGTTTGACAATCCTTTCTGCTGAACGGGTTTCATGAATTGTGTCAGCAGTGTGCTGATTGCCTGTTATCTGTCAGCTGATAAGTGCCTCCTTTAATGCACAGGCAATAAAATGCTCAACATGTAGGGCAGAGGAATGATCCTTTCAACAGTCAAACAAATATCCCGTAATTCTGTATTGATTCAGTATATTTGTTCAGGTTGGATTGGGCATATGCTTGTATAAACAGGCCCAAGTGTCAATTTGTTCCAGCGGAGGATTAAGCATGCCAGCATGAACTAAGGACAGTAAGTTAAATTGTACTTGGGCTTAATGAAAAAGACTTGTTTAATGAGACAGGACTGTGTAACTAGCTGCTTAGTAAATATATTTTTACCTGTTTTGACATATTCATTTTATCAAGCAGCACTCAGTAAACAAAGAAGTTAACATTTATGTTGTAATAAAGACAAGACTCCTATTCACTACGCAACACAGACATAACCAAAAGCACTAGTTTCCCTCATGTGACACTGCCTCGTCCACAAACCTTGCTTAACAAAACATTATAAAAGGCCTGGGGAGGAATGGACTACCCACGATGCATAGCTGCAGTAATCTGGCATAAAAGAATGATGGTCACACGGTTCATCTCTAAAAAGGTCAAATAAAGCCAAAAACTCCCCATGTGATAGAAAGAGTCATCATGAACCTGCAAAAAAACAGTCCTTCGCATTGTCAGTAAAGTCTGGAGTTTGAATATTTCAATCTAAAATAAACAATACATTCTTCTGTTTGAGTTACTGATTGTAGTTTTAAGCAGACATTCAGTAATGTGTAGGTCATTTTACTGTATATATGCAATGACAGCACTTTACCAGACTTGACTGTATCAAGTGAAAGAAGGACTTCCCTTTCAACCGTCTGTATTTACCTGACTAGTTGCCACCAAACACAAAGCGCTGAACTTTGATCTTTTTTATGTCGTTCCCTTCAGTGCTGTGCTTTTCTCTCTTTGTTGACCAATATCCATGCTATCTCTTTGCACTTTTAAGCACACTAAAACTGTATGACTCCCTTATAAAGGACCTTCAAATGGCCCTGCTTTACAATACACCACATGCAGAGGCAATTGAATTAACCCATTGATCCCTGGCGGTTCTATTGCCAAGCTAAATGTTGTTATTCAACCTTAATGACTGTTCCTTGCAGGCAAATGAACACTTGTAGTCAATTAACTGTGAAGCAGGAGGAGGATACAGGAAAGACAACCCACTCCGACATGCACCTATAGAGTTTAAAATCAGCGTTGTGGAGTCGTGGCGTCTGTAGTAACAGTCAACCAATGACTTCTTCACTGTAAACAACAACACGACACCAAAAGCTTTGTTCTTTGACACTCCCTTATCTTTTCACAGCATCTGATCCTCCCCGCATTGCCTCGGTCACAAACGCACTTTATCTTGTGGGACAATAGTGGTGTTGTGCCCGGCAGTGTTGTCTGGCACTACCAGCTCCGTGGTGGGCTATGACACGTATGGGGGATTGCTGATGCTCTTCAAGTAGTTTGAATAAGCGCGTGTTTTTTTTTTTGTGTGTGCACACACACTCCAGTAATCAGCCACCCGCTGTTTTGTAATATTATACACAGATAAACAATTACACACAAC